GTCAGGCCTCTGTGTCCCCCAAGGGTCTGCGCTATCAAACGGTCTCATTCATCATACTGGGCCCTGCTGTCTGGAAGAGCATGCACGTGCATTCATATCCCTCATCTGCCTCAGCTGCTTCCTGCTGCCTCCACCAGATTCACTCTGCCCCAGTCCAGGAGGCAAGGACGGCCTTTTCCCAATTACAGGTGGTGAAACTGAAGGCCCTGCACAGTGATGGGATTTGGCCAGGGTCCCACTGCAATTTCCCTGCCCGGCCTCCCTGAGAACGGCTCACAGCCTGTTTAGTGTCCTCTATGAGAAGTTATGCAGCTGGAAGGAGGCCCCAGGATGAAATAATTGCAGAGAAAACAGATGGGCTGCTCAGCTATCCTCCCCTCCTCTGAGGGCCTGAGAATCCACCCCTGCTGCCCGTAGCTCCTGTCTACCTCCTGTTCAGGTGGACAGTCCTGTCACCATGGCCTTCCCCAGTCCCCAGAAGCCTTGCACACCTTTCACACTCCAGCATTCTGGCCTGGGCCTCTTCTGGCTTTCCATCCATCCCAGTACTGGACTGGACAGCAACTGCCCCAGGAAAGACCTCCATGATGGGCACATCTTCTCTTCCCCTTCTTGGAAAGGAAAAGATGGGAAAAGAAGTCATTAGAATGGGGTCTAGGGCTGGAGAGAGCTCAGCAGTTAGTGCACTGACTGCTCTTGCAGAGGACCTGGGTTCGATTCCCAGCACCCACATGGTGGCTATGAACCGACCTTAACTCCAATTCCAGGGGAATCTGAAGCCCTCTTCTGACCTCTGAGGCATTGCACGACATGGGTGCACTCACATACATGCAGGCAATACACTCACACACATAAAATAAAAAGAATAAATAAAATATTTGAAAAAAAAAAGAATGGGGTCTTTTCCGAGTTCGAATCCCAGCACCCACATGGCAGCTAACAACTGTTTGTAACTCCAGTTCCAGGGGATCTGACAGCCTCTTTTGTCCTCCAAGGGCATTGCACAACACGGGTGCACTTACCTACATGTAAGCATAACACTCATACACATAAAATAAGAATAATAAATTTAAAAAAAATTTTTAAAGAGTGGGGTTTTTTCCTCCCAGGTCCTCACCCTTCAAAGAGCCAGGAGAGAAAGAGAAGGGTCTTGGCCACACAATGCTGTGATACCTGAGGTTTAACACAGTTCACCCTGGCTCTGACTGTCCCCATTCCCTGCTCTGTCCCTATCCCCCCAACTGGCCACTCTCCCCCTGCCTCTTCTTTTATGTCCTCCCCCAAGCTTACTTACTCTCCTACCCCAAAGTGCAGTGTAGACTCCAACTCTAAGAAGACAATCCCCTTTCCTCTGTCACATCCTACAGCTCTAGATGCTACTTTGGACCTCAGAATTACCTCTCTCCTAGGCCAGTCTCTACTGAGCACCCTACCCACCTAGGGCAGGCCCTTCACCTCCTAGCTCTGGAATTCTGAGATTCCATCAGCCTCCTCTCTGCCTCAGTTTAGCAGGGCTGCCCTTCAGTAAGCTTCTCCTTTGACTGGTTTTTACTGTTCTTTTGTTGTTTGTTTCTTGGACAGCATCCTCTAAGCCCTAGTTTTCCACTAAACCTGAGGAGTGTCCCTCAGTTTTCCTTCTTTCCCTGTGTTTCAGGCACAGCACAGACTTCTCCTCTTCTAGGAAGCCCATCTTGCTGACTGAGATTGAGATGGCATCTTGAGGTGGCTTCATCTCTTTGTCCTTTTGAGCTGGCAAAGCCCGTGTCTGTTTTGTGGAGTTCTTCCTTGCTGGAGTGGAATTCAGTGTCTCCTGAGCAGACCAAGGGGGTTCTCTGTAGACACATAAGAGAGTCATGAGTGACAAATGACAAGATGCCCTACAGAATTGCTTGTCCCCCAAGCCCCAGGGCCATTTCTCCCTCTTTTGAGTCGAGTCGTTTCTTGGCTTGTTAAGTTGGTTTGGGTTTTTTATTATTTTTAAAAATATTTTATTTATTATTTTTATTTTATGTGCATGCCTATATTACCTGCATGTATGTAAGTGTGCCTGTGTCGGGAAATGCCCTCAGAGGACAGAAGAGGATGTCAGATCCCCTGGAACTGAAGTTATGAACAGTTGTTAGCCGCCATGTGGGTGTTGAGATTTGAACCTGGGTATTCTGCAAGAACAGCCAGTGCTCTTAACCATGGAGCCACCTCTCTAGCCCCTTATTTTTATTTTTTTAATTATGTGTATGGGTGTGTGTCTGTGTGTGGATATATGCATGTGAGTGCAGTTGCCCTCAGAGCCCAGAAGAGGCTATCAGATTCCCCATGAAGCTGGAGTTACCGGGGCACTGGAAACCAAACTCTAGTCCTCTGCAAGAACAATGGGGCTTCTTGCCACTGAGACATCTCTCCAGACTCCAGGAGGAGTTTTAGCAGTAAATAGTCAGTGCAGTGCCTGATTAGCTCATTTCAGCTGCTCAGTAGACCAACCCATCAGCTTCCTCATCTCCACCAGGTTCCTGGAGCCAGTGGCAGAAGAAGCAGACTTTCCTGGAGAACGGCAGCTGAGATCCCAAATCTAGGTCCAGGAGGGAAGTCACGAGGAGCAAGAAACCTTCTGTCTGCGAGCACATGCACATTTATTGCCTCCCTGCCCCAAAGTCCCTACAGCCCGGTCCTGGGCTTCCTGCCCATCCAGCTCCTGCCCCCGCTAAGCAGCTGCCACAGTAGTAGCTGCACAGTCAGTGGGGAAGCCTAGTCTGAAGTTAACTCTTCCAGGATCAACTCTACCCCAAATGTTCAGGGATGGCAAGTCATTAAAAGATTCCTTTGCAGGGCCAGCAAGAAGGCTTGGTGCGTAAAGGTGCTTGCTGCCTAGCCTGATAACCTGAGTTCCATCGCCAGGACCCTCATGATAGAGTCAACTCCCATAAGTTGTCCTCTGACCATACATGTACTGTGACACACACACACATATACACACACACACACACACACACACACACACACACACACCTCACAAATAAATCAATACGAAATATTCCCTTGCAGAAATGTAGGGTGGAGTGCGAGGTGTGGGCTCTGCCATATGGAGCTGGGAGTGTCAGAGTTACTAAGTCTCAAAGCTCCAAGGGAAGACCTAATCACCAGGCTATCACCAAGCATGTAGATAACACACAAGACAGGAAGAGCTCCTCTATCAGGAAGGAAGTAGCCTTCGGGGTTGGAAGCTGCCAACCTGCCCTTCATAAGTAGCTTCCAAACTGCCTTTATGTGAGTAGCTGCTGCCTCAGGGTTTGGGTGGTACCCTTTTTCTGTCCAGTAGGCACAAGAAGAGAAGTTCCACTGCCCACCTGAAGATCTCCCCCTCCCCCTCCTTGCTTCTCTTTCCTCCTCAAATTCCAGGGTGGTATCTTTGTGAGAATGAACATAGAAAGGCCACCAGGGGCTACATGAAGCGGGGTGTCAATTTGTCAGAATTGACAAAGGATTGAGGTTGGTGTCTGACTCTTTCTTCAGATGACCTGCTGGCCCAACTCAGACTTCTGTGGATTGCTTCCTAAACAAAAGGAGGAAGAAGGTGGTCCTCTTTTGGGGACTCGGGGTGCCAAGGTAGGAAGAGTTCAGGAAGGAAGAGGGAGACAGAGCCGACAGTGGGCCCTTGCTTTCTCTGCTCCCTCCTGGAGCATCTGGCTCTCCAGGTCCCTCCTGACCCCAGCAGTCTTCTCACCTCCCTTCAGCGCCCTCTCTCTGGAAAAGCTGCCTGACTCCTGCCTCCCACCAGGTTCTTTACTCCTGGGGGCCACAGAGACCCTGTCCATGTCGTGTCCCTCTCAAGCCTGAGTCCTGCTCAGCACAAGGGATACAGGATTCCTGCACCTCAATGGATTCCCAGATGTCAAACTCTCTGGCGACTGCAGAAATGTAGCAGGAATACTGGTCCCCATAGCCAGAAGGGGATTCTCTGCAGCCCCAAACTCCATAGTGATGGCTGTCAAGGCTGGGGCCTAACTAAAGGGCAGAGCAGCCTGTACAGTTCCCAATACTGTTTGAGACACTGGAGTGGACATCCCACCTGCAGGTAGGGTCAGGCCACCTGCCAGATCAAACCCAGGCTACATCTGATCATAGAGCCACAACAGCAGGCTCATGATAGCACTACACACACACATACACACACACACACACGCACACACACACACACACACACACACACACACACGGGGGCGGGGGGCGGTGGGGCACGACACGGTGTTTTGTGCTGGTCCCCTAACCTCCCAATCAGGTTACACACACACACACACACACACACACACACACACACACACACACACACTGTTCCTGGCTCAAGCACATGGGTTAATGACATCCTTGTACTCATGGGCGCTGAAGACATAGACCTTGCTTCTACATACAGCTAGAAAGCTCTCCCTGCACCCCACGCTGGGACCTCTCCACCACCCTCTGGCTTCCCAACCTAAGGGCAACATGGGGCAGTCAGCTTTCCCACACGTGCCAGCAGGTGGAAGGTGGCGCCTCAGTGCTAGCCCGCACGTGTCAGGTGGCAGCGAAGAGTTTGGAAACAGGGCGGTCTGCGTGGATTTCGGGCAGTGTCAACTTTCTAGCTCTGTAATTTTGCATGAGGGGCATTTCTTCTAAGCCTGCCTTTGCACCTTGCAAGAGGAATACAAATCCCTCCCAGGAGCATCGCCGGTGGTGAGGACCCAGCGGGTGAGTACCCAGGGCACTGAGACTTCGCCAGGATCTTGCAAGCTGGAGCGTGCGCGCTCTCTACAAATGGAGTTCTCTTGTGCGCTCTGCTTTGCAGTTCCAAGTGCAGCCTGGATCCAGCCGGCCGAGCCGCGGGATCCCACGGAGGTGGGATGTGAGTGGGGGCAGAGGGGGGGAGCCCCCGCGGCCCCCTCCCGGCGGTCGATTCGACCGCGTGCGCGGTGCCATTGGCCCTGGCGGCCCGGTGGGCGGGAGGATGACATCAGCGGCAGGTTGGATTATAAAGGCAGGAGCCGAGCCACGGACTCAGAGCGCACCCAGCCGGCGCCGCGCAGCACTGGGACCCGCGCTCTTTGGCCAGCCTGCTCCGCACCCGCCTGCGGAAGTACCCACCAGCCCGGCTGCGGAGCGTCTGCGCCCAGAGACCGGTCGGCACCATGCACCTCTCCCAGCTTATTGCCTGCGCCCTGCTGCTCACGCTGCTCTCGCTCCGGCCCTCCGAAGCCAAGCCCGGAGCGCCACCGAAGGTGGGTGCTGTCGCGGGGACGCTAGGCGAGTGATGGGCCGGGGAGGCTGCACGCCGGGATGGATGCGGCGTGCAGGAGGGCGCGGGAAGGATCAGAAGACAGACCCCTCGGACTTGTGTCCTCAAAGCCGGGACTTCCCGAGTCTATTTCCCCAGTCCCGGGAGAATGCACACACATGCGCAACCCCCATGCTCCAGTGTGCCCAGCAGGGCAAGAGGCAAGGGGAGGGCCAGGGGCTCGAGCGGACGACTGCGTGGCAGGTGGATGCCGGACCCAGCTGTCCCGCGTGGGTGGGGGCGCGTTCAGGGCCTGGAAGGGCCGCTCTGCGTCCAGCAAATGTTGCCTGCGCTGCAGCCGTGCATCCCTTCACCGGCCCACTCTTTGATCCCACAGGTCCCGCGAACCCCGCCAGGGGAGGAGCTGGCCGAGCCCCAGGCAGCCGGTGGCAGTCAGAAAAAGGGTGACAAGACTCCCGGGGGCGGAGGTGCCAATCCCAAGGGCGACCGATCACGACTGCTCCGGGACCTGCGCGTGGACACCAAGTCCCGGGCAGCTTGGGCCCGCCTTCTGCACGAGCACCCGAACGCGCGCAAATACAAAGGCGCCAACAAGAAGGGTTTGTCCAAAGGCTGCTTTGGCCTCAAGCTGGACAGGATCGGCTCCATGAGCGGTCTGGGATGTTAGTGCGGCGACCCCTGGCGGCGGTGAGTACCACCATCCCCGCGTCCGGCGCTCCCGACTCGCCTAGCTCTGGCACCTGGGAGAACCCAGCCGGTCTCTGCCTTGCGCAGGCTGTTTTGGTTTCCTCGCTGATCCCAGGGCGCTGGGATCTTCCGGCCAACCAATTCTGGCATGGAATCGAGTGTGCGCCAGGCTTTTGCCTGCGGCCTCACGTATCCCGTTTTACAGATTCGGAAAGCGAAGAAGTCAGGGAACATAGGCAAGATCAGAACCAGCTCAGCCTCGAAGGCCCCATCTGGCTTTCTCTGAGGATGCAGAAATAGGCTTGTGTGGGCCCAGTTCCCACCTCCACCCTGGACCACAGGCCAGCTAGCAGTGTTAGCTCTGACTCAGCCAACTGGGAGAATGTTAAAAGGATCCTGGGAGAAGGGATGTACCCACCAGCCCAGAGTAAAATATCTGCCAGCTCTGTGCCCGTGACCAGGAAGCAAAGTGCCAGGACAGCTTCCTGGGTTCGTTGTCCCTGAAGTAATACAGGTGTGGAAAAATGCCTACCCTTCACAGTGGAGAGCCTCCATGGGCAGCAGCAGGACACCCTTCTGCTTGGGCATTCTAATTCTTGTCTGGTCTCTAAACCCAACTGTGGGCAAACTGGTCTGTCCAGGGTCCTGATCCTGCAACCCTGTGACTTCAGGGGTGAACCTTGGAGCTTCTAACCCTGTTTCAAGGTAGAGAAATGAACAGACTAAATCTTACTTCTTGCCCTAACCTCCAATTCAATATGTCCCAAATGAGTTCCTTACCAACCCTACATTGTGCTCTGGGCTATTTCTGGCCTCCTTACCCTCCACCTGGCCTGGAAACCTCTGTCTTACCAGCATCCTCTATTAGAGGTTCATGATGACTCACTGCTACAAAGACCCTTCCGTCCCTTCCTTCCTTCTCTCCCTTCCTGCTGCCTACTGGTGTACATGGAACAGCACATAGCAGGGTCAGGTGCCTTAAGGTCAGGCTTCTGCTGCCTCCGAGCTTTGACTCTTACCCACCAGCTGCCATTGTTCATCCCATACTCTGCCTGTCCCTACCCCAGGTGTGGGAGGCTGCTCTCTCCGCCCATTGAGGCTAGTCAGTGGCCATTCTTCTCCCTGTAGGGAATAGGAACACCTCTCCAGCACATTGCATGAGCCTTTTTTACAGTAAGAGAGACTTTCACAGGAAATGTGATGTTTTGTGACCCTGTTTGTGTCCCCACATTAATCCATGAGCAACTTAAGGGATGGAGCCTGGCCTGAAGCAATCTGGAACATGCATCACACCCAAAAGGACTCTTGGAAATAATGGTCAACGACCAGAGAAACCCACATATCCAGCTTAGCAGCTCCATCAACTACCCCCTGCCTAGGTTTCAGCCGCCCGTTCCCCTTTCTGCTGCCAGACTCCAGCTGGCTGAATGTTTCTCCCCAGTTCTGCAAAGTGTTATCTTTAGTTTAGTACCCCCTACTCAGAAAGAAAAGTGATTCTGCACTTAGGAGCCGGCCTTCTGAAGCTGCCATTGTGATACCTTTTGCTTTCTCCTCTTCTAGGTGGAGAGATGGAGACTAAGAGGTTTCAGATTTTCAGTTTGTGATATAAGTGCCTAGATTCTAAAGTTTGAACATTTTAGAACTAAACAAAAGTTAGTTCACCTCTGAACTGGTGTCTGGAATGTACTTCCCTGAAAGTGCATTGTTCTTGTGCATGGACGTCGATGGGCATAGGATGGTGGTTACATAAGTGGTGAGAGACACTAGGAGGGGGATCTAGACTGCTAACACTTTTGCACCCATTTGACCAGGGGAGGTTGTCAGCCTCCTAGAAGTTCTCTTGGTGTAGATGAACGGCCACTGCCAATAGCTTTAACCATCTCTATCCATCCCCAGAGAAAGGGCAGATTGTCCTTCCCAACCCCACAGGCTCCTGGGGCGGGGGGTGCAGCCCAGCACAGAGTACCACCTGGTCTTGGAGAGAAGGATAGTGCCTGATGACAGCTATTGAGGTTGTGGCCATTTCCCACTCAGAAGTTGACTTCACCTCCAAGCACCATCGTAATGACTGTCGCTGATGGTTATAGGTTTTGATTATACTACTGACAGAGGCTGGGTGTGGCTTAGATTTCAATGGACACTGTGCTCCTGGGCCCCAGGACCAACACACTTGAAACAGCTAGAGAAGGGAGCTGGGGAGAGCTGACCTGACCATTCCAGCCCAGCCGCTCTGTGAGTGCTGTCCTTCCAGAGGGCCCTGCATGCCTCAGAAGGACGCCTTTTTTCAGCACACAGCCACTAGCAGGGACTAAACACAGCTCTCCTCACCTTACTCTCATTCTCTCCACCCACCAATCCAACTTGACTGTCCATTTGTCCAGACTAGTGTTAGACCCCAGTTTTCCTGTTGTTCAAGGGGACCCTGAATTAGCCACTTTCTGTGGCAAAACTAGCTAGGGAAGGAAGTGCTCTTTGCTGCTTGATGACTGTGACCCAGACACCAAGGATACCTAATATGTGGCATTTGTTGAATCCCAACGCCAACCCTGAGAGGTGGCTATTATCCATTTTATGGGTGAGCTCAAAGCTACCCAGGGCCATCTAGGAAGTCAAGGTCAGAGTCAGGATTTCAACCCAGAATTTATGACACCTCCCTCCAGCCAGTGCCAAAGGCCCTCAGCAAGGACCTATAGGACAAAGGCAGAAGTACTTTGCCTCACCTACTGCAACAAAGGGGAAAGAAGGTTCTAGAACTACCCTGGAGGCTGGACTTTCTCAGCTAAGAGGCCAGAACTGAGTGTCCTGTGTCCACTTTGTGTTTCAGAATTGGGAACTGCTCCGTGCGCTGAGGTCATCCTTGGTCATCAGCCTCCAGCATCTGGAAACACCTCCAACGCAATGTGGCTTTTACATTTCTTTTTTTTTTCCTTCCTGGTACTGGGAATACACAACACCAGCTGTTTTATTATTATTTGGGGAGGGGAGGGTATGGTTTTATTGTTTGGGGGGTTGAAAATGAAAAATAAAAAATTATATTATATATATATTATATATACATGAAACACTCACACCTACACCGACTTGATGACAAGGGACAGTTTTTAAGAGACTGACAGAACCAGCTGTAATACACTGCTGTTTGTAAATTCATGTCATGCATAAATGTATTTATGTTGTAAAGCTATTTATATTGTTTATAAAGAGATATTTATAAAAATTTTATTTATGTAACTAAATGAAAGAAGCCAACCATTGTAATGTTTTTGTCCTAACTAGTTGAAAAATGTAGAAAAAAAAGTCATTCCATGAACATCTTGAAAACTGTCTTTATTTACTCATCGAAATGCATTTTGGGAATTAGGTTGCACAGAGGGAGAATGAGAAGACAACACTTTTGCCTCCAAATAGATCTGTCAGTCAGGTTCCTGATTCTGAATGGATGCGTGTTGGAATCCCCTGGGGAGCTTAGTCAGAATGCAGACTCTGGCCCTTCCACTCTCTGATCTACTGATGCCAGTCTCTCTGGACAGAGCTGGACCATCCCAGGGTGACTCTGCCTGCTCCGCTCAAGCCCGACACATGGGAAACTGATATCCCAAATTCAACTGAAATTGGTTCAGCTGCTTTAAGGTCCTCCCATCTTGCCCCTGCCTTCTCTCTGTTATGGGAAGAAAGGGCTCCAAACTTACCCTTGTCTTGGCAACGAGGTTTCTGTGCATCCCGTGAGATTGTCAGGTTGCCTGCAGCAAGTCTCTTTTATAGACCTGCTTCCAAAGCCTGAGGGGAGCAGCTCTCTAGAACCCCACAAGGACTGCCATGGCTGGCTGACAGCTGAGGCCAAGCACCTCTGAGAACAAGCGGAGGTGCTCATGTTTCACGTGTGCAGTGGAGTGTACCTTGTGAGAAGGCTAACGATTACAGTTCCTGGGCTTTGAATGTGAAATTATGAATAATGATTTGGAATTTATGAATATAATTTAGATTAAAATCTCTTTCCTGAAATCAGCAGGAAACTTTTAAATAATTTAGAGGTAATCTCACTATATCCTCCACTATATCCTCCACTCAGACAGACACCACTGTGCGGTCTGACCCCATTAGAGGAAGGCAGAGGCAGAAAGGGCCTCTCTGATCTGAGTACAGTGGCACATGCCTGTCATCCCAGTACTTGGGAAGCAGAGGCAGAGAATCACAAGTTCAAGTCCAGCCTGGTATACAAAATACATTCCAGGCCAGCCAGGCCTATAGAGCAAGACCTTGAAAAAACTATCAAAGACTCTTGGTGACATCGTAATACTATGTAGATTGGGAATTGGAGTTCAGGGAAGTTGAGAGCTAAGTGATCCTGTGTTACAAGGTCAGACAGAATAGTTCCAGAAGAAAGCTGTCCCTGGAGGAAGAGCCTAGTGGCACCTGTCTCCCTGTTGCCATTTAGGCCCACGACCTTCACTCCTGAGTAGCCCCCCAACAGCAGGTTCTCAGGGAGCATGGGGGTGGTCAACACAATAAAATGTGACCCAGTTGGAAAAGGCTGGCATACTTCCACCTTCTCAATTTCCAGTGACCCAGGGGACATTTCCAGTTTCCTCCTGGGGGGCCAATTGACTAGTCATGGTTGTGGCTGCCTTCCTTCCTCCGTCCTGCTCCCATGTCTGTGGCTGGAGACCCAGTGACTGTGTCAGCAGGGTGAGGGCCCCAGCACCCAGGCCTCTCCAGGGTCTCAGCTTGTCATGTGGGCCGCAGATCCCTTCTGAGGAGGCAGAGGGGTTTGCCAAAATCTGGGAGGTAGCAGGAAGGAGGGGAAGGAGGGAGGCAGTTATACTTGAGCCTTGCTGGTGACAAGGCAGGTGCTTCTCAAAGTCTAGACAGAAGGGGCCAGGAATCCTGGGATCCAGGGAATCATCACTGGAGACAAAAGGGTTTTTCCAGCTGTTGCATAGGACTGTCCTACAACCAGCAACCTATGGATAGACACCTTCTTCCCACACTTTGTTGTACCTGCTTGCCTACAATTGTCACACACTTGTTGACTGTTGACCCTCCACAAGAAAGGAAGGGCAGGGAGAGTCAGTGAGGCCTCCCAAGCAGTCAGTCCTAGTTGCACGACGGGGAGGAACTAAGGGTATATAAGCAGAGGAAGCCATAGGGAATGTCTCTGGCCATTTTGTACAGCTGCTGGGAAGTCATGATTCATGCCTGTATGGAGACTTTCCAGTGTAGCCTTGAGGTGGGGGCACCCATACTCCTGTAAGTAAACCCTCACCCACTGCTCTGTAAGTAAGCCCAATAAACTCTCTGGCTTCCCAAACTGCAGTTTGAAGAAATTGGACCTCAGTGTGTTGTAGGGACCAAGGGAGGAGGGGGCCAGACATTGCTCATGCCTCCCAAAAGGAATTTTAGCAACACCAGGGTCACTAGTTACTGAGAGCTGATAAGTACTCCTGGGCCCCCACCACAAGTATTGTCCTCCTAAGCTGCCCTCATTCCATGTGTTAGCTACAGAAAAGGCATAGCCCACAGTCAAAATGCCAATCCTCATCAGAGAGGCCAGACCCTCAACCTGGTACCATAGGTCCTGGATGTCACTAAACATCTGGCCTCCTATGATGGTTAATATTGCCAACTTATCAAGGTCTATTATGTTATTGCCTAGGAGACAAACCTCTGGGCATATCTACGATGGAGTTTCCAGATTCGTTCACTGAGGTGGGGGGCCTCCCACAGGCTGGGGTCCCCAACTGAACAAAAAGGAGAAAGGGAACTGAGCACCAACATTCATCTCTGTTCCTGACCGCTGCCTTAAGCTCATGTCTTCCCCTCCTTGATGGACTTCACCCTCAAATTGTGAGTCAAAATAAACCCTCCCTTCCTTAAGTTGCTTTTACAGGTGTTTTGTCATAGCAAGGAGAAAAGTAACTAATACACCACATTTTACATGCAAACTGGGAGTCCTGAGTCTGCTCTTCAGCAGTGACAGAGATGTGCTGGAAAGCAGGAAGAACTGACAAACTCAGTAAGTAACTGGAAATGTTTAGAAACCTCAAGGATTCCCAGGTGGTATTGCCAAAGAGTCCCCAGCCTCCCATCTGGGTCTTGCCTCCTTATTGGCTTCCAGTGTTTCATCTCATGCTGCCTGGAAAAGCAGCAGCTTCTCTCCCACATGGGTGACAGCAACAACCAGGACCTGCCTGGAGACATGGCCCTAGTGATGGGGCTGACTGGAGTCCTTGTCCTCTAGGACAAGGTAGGGACCTCAACAGTGCTAAACACTTCTCTGTGCAGGTCCGGGTGGATAGGGTGGTCCAGAGTACAGCAGAGGGACAGAAAGTTCCAGATGCTGGACTCCTCAGACCTCCTAGTATCCTTGAGGATATTCTATTGAGAAGCTCTCAGGATGTGAAAACATAGGGCAAGGGAGATGTGATACTCACATACACTTTCAGGAGATGCGAAGAACAGACCTTTAAAATACATCTGCAGGGCTTATGAGATGGATTAGTGGGTAAGAACACTTTCTGCACAAGCTCAAAGACCTGAGTTATAATACCCAGCACTCATATAAAAAGCCAGGCATACACAGTTGAGCATGATCTTTGACTTATCTTCACATAGATGGAACAGGTAAAAGAAAGGAGCCAGGGCTCCTACCAAGCCCATGTGACCCCTGAGGAACAGGTCCTCAAACGACCTTAAGAGCAAAAATAAATTGGTTTATTTGGGCCAACTATATGGTCTTAAACACCCAAAAGGAAAGTATAACCAAAGATTAAAGTGATCAGTATATTTCCTTAAGAGTCCAAGTGTATAGCTAAAGGCTACATAACAAAAAACAATGCCAGACAGGAGATACCTTCTTTTGAGTTGTTGGCCATGGTGGCCCAAGAGACTCCCAGACAGTAACCCAGCACAGAATTGGGAAAATGAACAGCAGACCCCAATCTTATCTAAAGGAATGTTGGCAACTGATTGCTGCTAGATGAGGAAGAGCTGATCTTCCTAAAACAAGGGACTCTAGGTAGGCTGACTAGACTCAGTGGATGGACTTCACTGGGAAATGGCTGGGGGCACCAACAACACAGTGGACAGGAATAGGGATAACAGAGTATATGAGCTCCAGTGGAGGGGAGGGGGCTATGGGAGGGTGCCATTTGGGATGCGGGTATAAAGATGAGTAAGATTGTTTGAGGTGTTCTGTATGAAATACACACACAAATTTTTTTTTTAATTTTCTTAAGCCAGGCATGGCTGCACTCACACCTGTAACCCTAGCCTTGTGGGGAGTGGAGACAGAAGGATTATTGGGACTTGCTGACTGCCAGGCTAGCTCCAGGTTCAGTAAGAAACCCTGTCAAAAAGGAATAAAGGGAGCCAGGCATGGTGGCACACACCTTTAATCCCAGCACTCGAGAGTCTGAGGCAGGTGGATCTCTTTGAGATAGAGGCCAGCCTGGTCTACATAGTGAGTTCCAGGCCAGCTGTGGCTACAGGGAGATCCTATCTCCAAAAAGACCATAAAAAGTAGTAAAGGGAAGAATGATCGAGCAGTTTCCTGACAGCTTCCTCTGGCCTCCCAGTGCATGCACAAGTGCAAGCACCTGTACATGAATATATACCACATACACACACATATAAATATATACATATTTATCTGCAGAAAGATGTAGAAGGAAGTTTCAGGAAGTTGTGAAAGCCCTTTGCTAAAGCCCTCAGATAGGGTGTAAAGGCACGCAATGGGGGAAGAGTTGCCAAACCTGCCTGGTCCCTGATGCTATAGTTGTTGATGGTGGAAGCAGGACTAGGCCCAGCAACCCCACCTTGAGATCCTAACACACCTGGAGAAAAGACCCAGGCAATCAGCCCACTTGAAGCTGTGATTCTAAGAGGTGGCACTCCATGATACAAAAGCATGGAAGTGGTAGGTATTGGGATACAGAGAGGTACTTCCAGGTCCACAGCCAACTGCTTCCCAGGGCCTGCCTCTCCCACACTGCACACTATCCAGCAGAGGTGGTAGATGGGAGTGATCAGAGAGAACACAATGTCTGAATATGATCAGAGTCTTGAGAAGAGCTCTAAGCCTAGGAAGTCGAGGCAAGGTGGCAGTCCGAGTAGCCTGTACCTTAGTTGGAGAAAAATAAGTTGGGAAGGAGCACCCATCCCTGTCAAAGTGTTTTCTGGTGCTATAACAAAATACCTGAGACAAATAATCTCTCCTGATTCTGGCCCTTCAATGCCACTAGTCACTTCCTGGGGGTGAGGTGGGTTTAGATCAGCTTCAATGCCTTCCTGTACATAGTGTACACCACACACACGCACACACA